CAGCGGGCAGCGAAGGGGCTGGGGCAAGAACTCCAAGCTGTGCTCAATGGGCTACGGGTGGTCAGGAGCCGGGACGCCTGCCTGACAACCCACAGGGGGCTCACCGGGCTGGACTTGGCTGCTGTAAACACAAGCTCCAGGCCTGCCAGCCAGGGGCAGTTAGCTGCTGTCTTGCCCCAGATCAGGGCCTCGGTTTGGTCAGGGCTATCAAGGAACCAGCCTTGCTGACGGAGGCTTTGGAGACGGCCCTGCCTCTGCAGAGGACGAGTTCGTTCCGGTGACACCACGTTCTGGTGCTTCCCACATGCCGCGTTGGCCAGCGCGTCACACGGGGAATAGCCTAGGGAGGGCAGCAGTCACTCGGGAGACTAGCACCACGTTCTGGTGCTTCCCACATGCCCCAGTGCGTCACACGGGGAATAGCCTAAGGAGGGCAGCAGTCACTCGGGAGACTAATTACCTGGTGGCACCTCAATCTGGGTCACGCGCAAGGAACTGGCCAGGGAGAACAGATCTGCTTTGTTCTCTGCTCCACCCGGCCTCCTGAACATTCAGGCCAAGAACAAATTTCTGAGGCAGGATGGAAAACAAATCCAGAGCCCTCACATTCTTGGGCCGCCACACAGATAGCCTCACGCCCCCGAGTGCCTACCGCTCCCGTGACTACAGACTAGCGCTGGCTGGCAGGAACGTTCAATCGCAGGAGCTCAGATTCACCCATTTTTAAGGGTGCTCCCCTGCAGCACCCTCAGGCGTGTTATCCCTGGAGGGAGCTGAATGACTTGTGTTGGGCTAAAGCGTCTTCCAGGGATCCCGTCATGACGTGAAGACTGACGAGTCCACCGCTTCCCTTGGCTGAATAGCATCCAGCCTCACACCGCCCCCTACAGAACTCTAGCGGAACACCCCACTGACAGCTTCTTTGTGAGACCCGTACTCTGAACACTCGGGGAAACGTCCGACCCCATTTGGAAACCTACGAAGCTCGTTCCCTCTCTACTGTCGTGTGGAGGGAAGTCCCCCAGGTGCAACACCTTGTGTACATAGGCATCTCCCTTTTGATTTCCCGAGATGCTCACTCACTCTTCCAAGAGCAGCAGCTGAACAACAAAGGGGCTTAAGAGAGACTTAACATAACCCCTCATCTACCCCAGCCACCACCTCTCTCAGCAAGAGCACAAGGCACGTAGCTGTAGGATGGACAGAAGGAGGCAGAAACAAGGGAGCCTCTGGAGGCAGAAGTGGAGCGTCCTCCAAGTCCATGTTAGTCCCGCAAGCAGCCAGCCACATCAGCACAAGGACCGGGAACCCCAGGGAGAGGGCAGCAGCTGCTCTGTGTCGGAACGATGGTAAGAAACAGTCCTGCCCCCACAGCACAACCCTGCGTGGCTCAGCTCTTTGGGGCAGGGACCAGCTTTCTGGTCTTCGTACAGCACCTTGCACCACGGGGCCTGGGCCAGGACCAGGCGCCAAGGCACTATGCACCACAGATAGTAAACGCCACCGTCTGCCAGCCTGGATCAGAGCCCTGTGCTCTGGCTTTGACTGTGAGAAGAACCCTTGCAAAGTCAGACACAGGACAGTGAGCCTTAGGAGTTAAAGGCTGGAGTAAGTTCTGAAAGTAGCTCCCGTCCCAGAACTCTGGCTAGTTCCCAATATGCAACCTCACTCCTTGGCCCTGCCACGCTGCTGCAACGCATCTGACAAGCACTAAACAGAAGCAGCACCAGGGAAGGCCAATGGGGTCGGTGCTGCATACCCAGCTCCTGCCCTGGGTCCCCCCAACACTGATCTCAAACCAGCCCAACACCCCCCCCTCCAACTTACCCAGGGAAAATTCCCGTGCGAATGCCAGGGACACGAGGAACAGGGGCAGGCCCACAGTGACAAACTTCACAACGCGGTCGCTCGGTAGCTCCAGACGCAGGCCTTTGGCTCGGGAGCCGGCGGGATCCGGGAGCAGCGCATCGGAGAGCATGTACTCGGCAGCTGTGTGCGCGATAGACATGGCTCCAGGTGCCGAGGCTGCTCAGGGTTTGGTCCCGGCTGAGCAGAAGCTAGCAAGGCACGAGCACTTGTGGGGTGGGAAGCTGCGTGTGCCCAGCGTTATGTACCGGGCAGCGGGGAGTGCACTGCTAATTACAAGGGAAGTTACCAATAGCCTTCCTTCCCTCCAGTCGAGCAGGCCCGCGGCAGGGCCCTGCGTGCCTCACCCAGCCCCAGGCAGGGCTGTGGCCCTGTGGTTTTACGGCCCTCTCTCATCAACAGCTATTTCTAGCAGCCCCGTGAAGGGGTGTGGGGCACTTGGGCTATTTTCATATCCAGTAATGAGTGGGAGGTTGGCAGGAGGCAAAATCCCAGCCCCCCAGCCAGGGGAGGGAGGGGGGGAACAGACACAACGTGCGCTCGCCGGAACAGCCTCCGACACTCCACGCTCGCTGGGAGGTAGCGAGTCTCAGCCAGGGCATCCCCCACCCTGTGGGCAGCCATCCAGAGGCAGTACAGAGAGGCCTTTCTGCAGTCTGCCCCCGCCCCAGGCTCTGCAGGGCTGCAAGGTGAGCCTGGCTGGCGTTTTATCAGGCTCAGCAGCGGGAAGGGACCGACTGCTGTTCACACACTACTGAACGGGAGCGCTAACAGCTCCTACGCGCAAGGAAACCTTGCAGGGGTCTGCAGGCCCAGCGCCTCCGGCCAGGTGGCAGGACCCCCTAAAGCCCCACAGGACAGAATGGGCACTTGGGCCCCCCTGTGCCTGTCCATGGCCACAGACAAGCGTGGCAGAATGGAGCAGGGCGCTGATCTCCCGCCAGGAGATCCCTGAGAGTCCAACTGCCTAGACAGTTGAGTGTTTAACACAGCCCCCCACTGCGCTGCTGCCCCACATGGGCTGGGAGCTGGCAGCCTGGCCGAGGGGCTCGGAGCAGCCCCCAGGTACCGGTAACCCGCTGGGGAAGTGCAGTGTGTGCGCGGGATGGAGGGAGCAGGCTAAACCGCCTGCTAGTGAGCAGCCCTGCCCCCACTCAAAAGCCTGCCAGGGAACCCCGCAGCCAGCATGAGCTAGTGAACTCTCCCCCCCTGCACACCTGAGGGGCAATGGTCGGTTACGTGCTGGGCCATGCAGTGGGCAACGCCTGCCCTGCACTGTGCCCAGGGCTGGAGGACAGGCATCCAGCGATCGCAGCCTGACTGCAACAAAGGCGGGAATCACAGGACCCTTTCGACTCGGCACGAGAGCTAGAGGTGCCGAGACACAGCCAGGCAGGCAGAGCAGGGCAAAACACCAGACCCCGCCCTTGCGAGCTGAACTGAGGGTTCCTGGGGATTTGGCATTTGCAGTTTGCCTTAGGAGGAACCTGTTGTGTGACTGAGGAACTGGGCTGCACAACACTGGGGTTCCTGCAGGGCAGCCAGACAACACCTGGGGGGACACGGGAGGGAACCCCCCGGGGGAATGCCCCACACGGGGCCCCGGGGCGCAGCGGGGAGGGAACCCCCGGGGGAATGCCCCACACGGGGCCCCGGGGGGAGGGAACCCCCCGGGGGAATGCCCCACACGGGGCCCCGGGGCGCAGCGGGGAGGGAACCCCCGGGGGAATGCCCCACACGGGGCCCCGGGGGGAGGGAACCCCCCGGGGGAATGCCCCACACGGGGCCCCGGGGCGCAGCGGGGAGGGAACCCCCGGGGGAATGCCCCACATCTGTGCGATCCCTTAGCCAAGGCAAACCACTGCAGTATTTACACTGGGTGGTTCACAAACGAACCCGTTACACCCGCTGTGGCGGAGAGGGACCCGCCTTGTGGCCAACTCCCCAAATAGACTTTCCCACGGGAACAGCAGCAGCTCAGCCAGAGCCCCTCAGAGTCCCGGTCCCTATGGAATGGCTGTGCTGCCCCACCCCCATGCACAGGGGGGGGCCCTGACCAAGCTGCCAGCAGTACAGAGTGTAACTGGGCCCAGCAGCAAGGAGCAGCCCCACATGGGACTGCACGAGAGGAGAGCCGCTGGGAGACACGCGACTCCACCTCGCTGAAATCAGAGTTTAGCTCCAAAAATCTGGAGGGTAGGAGGGGGCGTGTCTCCAGCTGGGGCCCTGGGAGCTGCCCCCCAACCCTCAGACACCAGGCTCAGCGGGGCCCTGCAGGATCCCTTCAACACGTGCTGAGCCTGGGGAAACACGCCTCATTTGGGAGGCAGGATTCCACTGCCCTCCCGTCCCCGGGCCATCCAGCCCCGGGGCTTCAGAAGGAAGCTGAGCCGTAGCGGGGACACACACCCGGCACAGCTGCTCAGCACAGTACCCCGTGACATGGGTCATGCTGGCGCCAGCTGACGGCACCACATCGGGGAGCCCCATGGCCCAGACAAGCTGGCTTCTCCCTGGTTACACAAGCCCAGACTGCTCCCGCACAGAACGAGATCAGACCGTTTATTGGTTAGAGAAGTTCCAGACCCAGCCCTGCTCTGCCTCTAACAAACCTCAGCTGGCTGCTGTACTGCTGGCTCTGCCCAGAGCCAGAGCCTCCCTCAGGCAGCTCATGGACCCAGGCCACTCACGCAGGGCAGCACGCTGACACGGTCACCAGTGGGTGTGCTTTCCTGGAGCGGCTGAGGCCACGGACTCCTCCCGGATCTCCAGGCCACAGTCAGATGCCCCACGCAGTCGGTCAGCTCCGCCCTCCTCACTTCTTGGGCACGTCTGGAATCTCCAGCTTCAGCCGCTGCAGCGAGTTTGTGAAGAAGTGGGGTGGCCGGCAGTCCAGCTGCAGCTGCTGGCCCCCGCTGGCTCCTGCGGGCAGGGTGAGCCTGCTGGCGTGCAGGTGGAGCGGGAGGTGACGCACCTTGGCCTGCTCCAAGCCCAGTCTCTTCAGAGTGTTCTCAGGAAGCTTCTGTTCAAAGGAGGAGAGGGATGAGAGTCAGTGCACAGCTCCAATGCACACCCTGCCAAGCAAGGCAGCGTCCCGGCCCCTGCTGCCAGAGGGCCTCTGTGGCTCCAGCCTTAGAAACGGCCAGAGCCAGACACCAGCAGGGACCTGCCGGGGAGCCTTTGGGCTGAACCCTGATTCACTCAGCGCACGGGCTTAAGACTTAAGCTGACCAGACACCAGGGCCTGAGATCTGCACTGAGGGGATAGCTCCTCTCCCGCCTCACCTACGGTGCAGTATCTGGCTGGTGCAAAGAGGGCCTTCACCGCCGTGGGGGGGTGCAGCGGGGACACAGGCCCCATAACTCGGCCCGTGTTCCCTGCTGAGACAGTAGCTCCCACTCCCACTCCTGCCCAGCAGCCTTACCTGGGGTGCCAGCTTGCTCCAGTGTGCGTATTTGTGGTCCCCGAGGATCGGGCACCCCAGTCCATAGGCCAGGTGGACACGGAGCTGGTGCTTCACTCCTGTGCAGGCAACAGGAGAGAGAAAAGAACGGTTACTTACCCGTAACTGTTGTTCTTCGAGATGTGTTGCTCATGCCCATTCGAAGTAGGTGTGCGCACCGCGTCTTCCGGAGCGTTTTCCCTAGCGGTACCCGTAGCACCAGCAGGGCGCCCCCTGGAGTGGCACCGCCATGGCGGGGCATACGTACCCCTGCCGGCACTGCCCCACCTCAGCTCCTTCTTGCCGGACACTCTGACGAAGGGGAGGTAGGGTGGGAGTCGAATGGACATGAGCAACACATCTCAAAGAACAACAGTTACAGGTAAGTAACCGTTCTTTTCTTTTTCGAGTGGTTGCTCATGTCCATTCGAAGTAGGTGACTACCAAGCTAACCCCATGGAGGAGGGGTTGGAGCAGTCACACCACCAGAGTCGTTTATTTGAACAATTCAACACGGATAAGGTACCATTTAAGAACAAAGACAACCGGAAACATATTTACATCACAGATTCGAGGACTGCAGAGCCCACTCTTGCATCCTCCCTGGCCTGCTGAGGTAGCGCATAGTGTGTTGCAAACGTGTGAAGGGAAGACCAGGTGGCTGCCCTGCAAATTTCTGTGATCGGTACCTGGGCACCAAAGGCCACCGAGGACGCCTACGCCCTGGTGGAGTGTACCTTCACCCTGGGTAGGGTTTTACCAGCCAGGTGATAGCATTCTGTGATGCACTGCACCACCCATCTTGATAGCCTGTGTGTGGAAATAGGCGACCCTTCGACCCTGTCCCCGAATGCAATAAACAACTGTTGTGATTTACGGAACAGCCTGGTCCTATCAATGTAGAACGCCAGCGCCTGCTTGGCATCCAGGGAGTGCAGAACCTGCTTCTTAGAGGAGGCGTGGGGTTTTGGGAAAAACACCAGGAGATAAATCGCCTGGGACAGGTGGAATGGTGATACCACCTTCGGGAGGAAGGCTGGATGAGGCCGTAGCCTTACATTGTTATTGGAAAAAACAAGGTTGGGCGGGTCTTCAGTTAACGCCCTTAGTTCCGACACCCTTCGAGCTGACGTAATAGCCACAATGAAAGCAACCTTCAATGAAAGGTGCTGCAGGGAACACGTGGCCAGCGGTTCAAAGGGAGGTAGCATAAGCCTGTGGAGGACCACGTTAAGGTCCCAGGCGGGAAGCGGGGCCCTCACCAAGGGGTACAGCTTTTCCAGGCCAGTAAGAAACCGTTTAACCACCGGGTTAGAAAAAAGGGAGACTCCTGTCATTCCGACATGGAAGGCGGAGAGAAATGCCACATGGACTTTGATAGAAGAGAAAGATAGGCCACTAGACCGAAGCTGGAAAAGGTAGTCAAGAATAGTTGGAATAGGAGACGAGGACGGGTGTACTCCTCTCTGGGACGCCCAAGACAAGAAGCGCCACCATTTGGCAGTGTACGACTGTCTAGTAGACGGTTTCCTGCTACTGAGGAGAACCATCTGAACCTCTTGGGAACATTCCCTTTCAGGTTGGTTCAACCACGGATAAACCATGCCGTTAGGTGGAGAGACCGGAGATCCGGGTGAACCATGATCCCCTCACCCCAGGGTTGAGTTAGCAGATCCCGGACTGGAGGGAGTGCTATTGGGTCCTGGACAAGCATGTCCACCAGGATGGGGAACCAGAACTGTCTGGGCCACCTGGGGGCTATGAGAATGATCAAGGACCTAAATGTCCTTGCCCTGGTCAATACCCTGGAAATTAGGGGAAACGGGGGAAAGGCATAGAGAATGCCCTCCGGCCACACGGCCGTCAGGGCATCCCCCAGGGAATATTTCCCCAGTCCCAGCAGGGAACAGTAGTTCCTGCACTTGGCATTGCTTGCCGAGGCGAACAGGTCTAGGCGGGGATAACCCCACCTGCGGAAAACCTGGCGGAGAGCAGAATCCTTGAGGGTCCACTCGTGGGCTCCCATGGCGGCACCACTCCAGGGGACGCCCTGCCGGCGCTACGGGTACCGCTAGGGAAAACGCTCCGGAAGACGCGGTGCACGCGGGGCGCACACCTACTTCGAATGGACATGAGCAACCACTCGAAGAAGAACCAGGCATTCAGACTGCTGGAGCACGTCTCTGCTGCTCACCCCCCCTGCCACAGGAGGAGCAGCTGTGGCCCCGCCTC